GTAGACAGATTTGTTACTGCCTGCAATCTGCCCATCTGCAACCAGCGCGCCATCTTATGATGTTTATACGTACTAGCCATATATGAATGTTTAGCTTCCTATCAACTATCAAGATACATTCTGTTAAAATTTACCTTACTATCAAGATACCTTCTTTACCGGCTTTTATCGGTTCCTTTTAATGTTCTGTCGAACGTGCCTTCTTCACAGACGGTCCAGCGCCATTTTCTTTTATGCTGTAGTTGTGGTTGTGTGTGGGCGTTTTTTCGTTAACCTCCAAATTTTGGGATATTAACGCCCCAAACACCAATTTATGGAGTAGGACCCTTTTATTTTGTACCTTACGTTTAGCTGTGTTGGTTAGGGTACTATCCCGTCCATTTTGGGATTTTAACCTCCAGCCTGGAAAGCCAATGTGGAGAACCACCATGCACACTCCTCCAGCTTTGTTTTGTAGCTGCCTTGTGGCTGTTTCGCAGCCGATTTTGTTGGAACCCATCTCTTTCCCTTTATGAAAACCCTGATGTGAACAAGTAAAATATCATTTTAATTGGGTATTTTATAGATACTGATATATTGATTGTTAATGACTGAAATTCTTAGACTGTTCTTGATTTTTTTTGGCATTTGATGTATTCAAATATAGGGTAGTGCCTACATGTCACTGTCTTTTGGGCTTATTAGATTACATTAATCATGATTTTGAATTTTGAGCTGCTTATTTTAGAACAAGGGATAACTTTCTGAGAGTATATCACTTTTGTAAATTTTATAGTTTTCTTGCCCTTGCAGAACGAAAAGTAGTTTTCTTGTAAAAGAGAATGTACTTGGATTTTTATTCAAGCTTTGAGTCTTTTAAATGTGTAGTTATGTCTCAGACATAGAGTAGAGAGCAGATTTTTAAACAGTCTTTTTCTGTCTCTAGGTTTTTTTTATACTATAAATTTTGAGAACTAGGCAAGCAGCCCCTACCTTGTGACATTCCTTACGTCACTGCTCACTACTGGGCACTGATTTTTGACCTGAGTTTTTGAGAGCTGAGATCATCACAGCTACGCCTAGAGCTGTAACTGGTAGAAGACCCTTGTTCAGATAAGTTCAGATTTAGGCGTTGAAATATTTGTAAGACGTATATTTGCAAAGCCTTCGTACGTGTACCATGGTAAACGTTTTGCAGGGTTAGTCATTACGGTCTATTAATTTTATTGTCAGGTAGTTTTTAATAACATCTTTTCTTTTAACTTACATTCCAGTGGTGGAGCATATGCTTGTTTTGACAATATACAGGGTGACTTCGAAGTTGAGTCATTTATTTTAACAGTGAGTAGATCTGATCAAAAGAAATGTTTTTTTCCTTTACCATTTTTCTGGTAAAATTAAAGTAACAAAGTTATAGCCCTATGGAAGTTTGAGTACCGCCCTGTCTCAATAATAATATTATGTGCTCGTGTTTGGCGACAACGGATATAATCCGCCTTATCGGTTCATCGCATCGGAAACAAAAAAGCGAAAGAATTTGGAACGATGTTTTTACAATTATTTTATTCATTTGTATACAGTCAGTGTCAGTCGGTAACGCGTGAGTGAATAGTGGTGTCTGTTGCGTGGCTCAAACGAAATAAAAAATGGCACATGTTTATGCGGATCGGTTTCCCAATCGAGTGCAACCAACCCCTCGTGCTTTTGTTAATGTAGTACAACGGGCTCGTGAATCAGGTGACGGCATGCCGGTGCTCCAAGACCTCACGATCAAATACAGGTCCGCACTGAAATACTTATCGGGAGGATACTTTATAAAACAAGGTAAAAATTTTTTTTTTATTTTTTTTTCATTTTTACACACATATTTTGGTTTATCTTCCTTCTACAATCATTATCTGAAAATTAATGATTCAACTTCAAAGTTATTGTGATTCTTTTTTTTTAGATATCTTGTTTTATTAGGCTCTCTGTATACAGAGTTATGTTGCTGTCATTTAACACTTTATTAATTGATATAATAATTGCATTGTATTCCTTTTTACTAGCTCATCACTTTTGGTTTATATTAACGATTGTATCTTAATTATGAGTCAGTCATTCAATCTCAGTCACAGCGAACACACACACTGTAATTCCGGTTCGGTCCATGTAAACGATTGTTGGAACCAAATAAAGTTTTTTAAAAACTAAGTTTAAAGTTCCGACTACATAATTGGCGCAGCCCGCAGTAGGATTCCCAAAGGGATTTTCGCCGATTAGCCCTTGAGTCCGAACTCTTAATTGGGAATCACGAACCTCCGTGACGAGCCGGTACGACTGAAGAAAGAAGAAAGAGTTTGGACCACAAGTGCCCTTTGTCCTGTTGAAGTCGACGTCCACCTGAGGAACCTAGGCCAAGAACGGGATGGACCTATCAGTAAGTGCTCATTGTATCCTTATTTTTTCATGAGTGACTCACCCCGACCTGTACATCCTTTCGAAGGTGATAGTGCAGATCAAATCGCTAATCGCATAGCAAGCTTAGAATTAGGAAGCAGAAGAAGAAGACGATTGTCTATTTGCTATTTTACAAGTAAACAAAAAGCAGCCAAATTGTAACAAAATTCCCGTAACTCTTAAAATGGCCTTAATTGAAAAAGTTTCAGAGTCAAATACATTGCTATTTTTCCGAAACCTGAAAAGCTGATAATCAAGTGTGAACAAGATGACGTCATAGAGTTAAAAGGCATTTACCTACTTGAAGTGCCTTACCAGTGCAGCATACAAACGAAGGACTACATTTACAAAAATCAAAAAAGAACAACCATGGAAAAGCCGCTGTTGCTTCCAGAGGTTCACATTTCATCAAAAACAGAAAATCCAAAGGAAATCAAGTTAGTACATATTTCCTTAGATAAAATTCATCACTTGCAAGAACGAGCCGACCAAATCCAGGTAGATCTTCCCGAAACAGTGAAGCACCCCTACAAATGGAGTCTACCCCTGTATGCAATTATGTTAATTGGAATTGCATGCATCTTCGTGAAAAAGTATTACCAGAGAAGAAAAGGATCAAGAAGAAGCCAACATTTAGAAGAAATCGAAATGCAACCCCAGAGGCACGACGTTTTGTTTGTGCCCTCCAAAACTTCATCTTAAGGGTCGAGGAGTTATGTTGCTGTCATTTAACACTTTATTAATTGATATAATAATTGCATTGTATTCCTTTTTACTAGCTCATCACTTTTGGTTTATATTAACGATTATATCTTAATTATGAGTCAGTCAATCTCAGTCACAGCGAACACACACACTGTAGTTCCGGTTCGGTCCATGTAAACTATTGTTGGAACCAAATAAAGTTTTTTAAAAATGAAGTTTGAAGTTCCGACTACATAATTACAGTAAATTAGGTTTCATTATTGCTATTAAATTTTTCTTCTCTTTGTGTGGTGGTCAAGCAAAACAACTTGTTGTAGAATAAAAAGTCTTCCCACAAAAACTGGGGTACCCATTTTATGCGTCCATGTTCTGAATACCCTCTTGAACAACTTGCAGCAATAAAACCGGACTTTACAGTTATTTCGCAAATCTGGGGTATTTTCGTCTAATATGATTAGACTATAAGTCATTTTCCATCGAGAACAATACGGCCAGTATAGACTGCCTGTTCCGAAACGTGTTTGTAATAGGTTCTATTGCTGCAAGCGAGTTCCATGTAGTTGTGCTTTTCTTTTGGGAAGATCTAAATCATGAACTAGACCATCGAGCTCTTCCTGAGATATAAAATGTCGCTGTTTGCTGCTACTAAATTCGAAAACGACTTCCTCTTCAAAACTTGAACCGGCTTCTGGCTCCTGTGTGTCAGAATTATCTGGTCCATCATATTTCTTTAGAGGCTCAGGACTAGGTATGCTAGAAGAGTAATGAGGTACAGATCTACTGGCTGAGGGGATATTAGGATACACTATTTGAAGCTTGCTTTTACTAGAAAATCTTAAAAGTTCTGTTAAGCAAAAGTAACAATATAATTCTTAGGTTTCCGCCAAGTTTCATAGAAGTGTGAGTACCCCATTGCCATCCTGCTAAGGTTCTTGAACAAGTCTGGCAGCATGTTTTGGGAGCCCAACTACCACGAAAGCCTGTGACCTAAACAACCATGGGGTACCGTGGGGCGCCGGCTGGTACTTCCGCGTTCAACAGTCAGAGACCGTCTACCCCCTACGAACAATCACAACATCCATAGCCCAGAGAAACATTTTTCTTGGGACGGGATTCGAACCCGCACAACGCACGGCGACTGATCAGGAGACCGAAGAGTCTACTACTGCGGCCACCGCTGCTGAGTAATATACCCATTTCGAACATCTGGTATTTTCTAGAAACAGCCTGAATCAAGAGATTGGAACCGATTTTTGCATACAGGGGCCATTCAATAAGTAACTGTGCGACGACTATGGGATATTGTGAAATCTGGAATTACATGAGGTTCAATAGGTATCTCCTTTATTGGAAGCCCTAGGGGTTGAGACTTCGTAGATGAGGGAGATTCCCGGATACCCCCCTTATGCGGTGTTGCCAGATTGTACATACTTTCCCTAGACTCAGAAAAAAACGTAAACTTGGCAAAGCCGTACCCCATTATGCTACAGAAAGATAAATATCGCACAGGTACATTCTAACACCTGCTTAAAGCATTTTGTTGTGTGACTCTACGAAAATTTAAAAATGTCCGTGTAAGGGTTAAATATGTAGAACTTATCGAAATAACGTATTTGTTTGGACGAGATGATTTTCGTGCAGAACAGTGTTTAGATGGTCATTTGTTACATAATATCATCCACCAAGCGTTTCTTAAGTTTCCAATTAAAACGTAGATTTAAGATTAATGGTATAGTTTTTCATCTCTGTCGCTTTATTTTCATATAAACTAGGGATGTACATAGTGTGGGGAATAGATGGAGAATAGTACTATCAACGAAATAAAAAATATCATTTGTGAACTCATTATATTATGTAAATAATACATAACTAACTAACGCCTTTACATGCAATGTAAACAAATAAAAACAACGCCTCTACAATGCTAATGAAGCTTAGACCCATTGTTAAACTACATATTCCTCCGAAGATACCTGAAAAAAATTGATTAGTACAAGTCGTAGTTAGCACTTTACGGACCAAGTACCTATCATGTCGTACCAATAAAAAGATGCATCGTGAATGTTTGACATTCCTGAGTATTTGTTTATTTCTATGTTTACTATACTAAAATTGACATCTTCAACCCTATAAAAAATCGATTATTCGTAAGTATTAAAATTGCACAATATATGTTACATATCAAGACCACGATATAAAAAATTCTAAATATAATACTGCCATCTAGACTTATGTAAATTCTTATTACATGACGACGTGTTTTCAACTGTGTGCTGTTAGAATGACTTGCCTTTGTGTTAATATACTGTATTTTCCAAAATGTAATCCATTGTGCTAAATACAGAAAAACAAAGGAAAAACACCAATCTTCATTGAAATTCTTTAGGGTCTGTCTCAAAGGACATTTTCTGTTAGAAACTATACAGTTACGAGTATATTGGTCCAAATACATATGATGGTGCAAAGTTTAGGAGCTAAACAAGGATCAAATACCCTGGTTCATGAAGCTGTACAGAGGAAGCGTCAATATAATACAGGGTATCCGAACATGCGGCTGTACAAATCGGACAGTTCAAAGACATCTGCTTCTCCAGATCCAAACCATCGCCTTGATAATCTATCGGATATAACCGCACCCATTTATCTTAAAATATAAAGAAAATTCCTCTAAATGTAGAATTAGTTTACGAATTATAAGTGACGTATAAATCCGAACACCCAGTTTAAATGGTTTTATTTTAATAAAAGTTGGTGAATGTATTTATCTTACTGTAAATAACAAGTGAAAAAATTTTCAGCCTTATCAGTTGGACATTCCGGTTTTTATACTGCTTTTTTTAATTCACTAACGCTCTAAAAATGAATATTTCAGCCGCAGTAAAGAATCAACGTTGGCGGATTTTGGTTCTTGACATCCTTTACGATCGGTTACGATGCCTAGAGTACGGAGACCTGTACGATTTCGTCAACTTAGTGAGTTTGATAGGGACCGTATAGTGGGACTCCAGGAAGCTGGACTTTCTTTTCGGGCAATTGCAGTTAGAGTGCAAAGAAGTGTAGACACTGTGGTTAGGTGTTGTCAGGCATGGCTTCGAGAAGGCCGTACGCAAAGAGCAAGGGGCACTGGACGCCGCCGTAGAACAACAGACCGTGAAGATCGCCGCCTAAGATTATTGGCCTTAAGGAACCGTTTCTCCACTACCAGGTCCATTGCAAATGAATGGTTTGCAGAACGCGGAAGACCTATTGGCATGCGAAGTGTTTACCGACGAATGAGAAGTTTTGGCGTGTTTTCATACCGGCCACACTGGGTCCTCCCTTTAACTTGAGAACACCGACGTAATCTCCTTGAGTGGTGCAGACAACGGTCACTCTGGGATCAGGAATGGAACAGTATTGTCTTTAGTGACGAGTCTCGATTTTGTTTAGGCATGCACGATGGTCGTGCCAGGGCTAGAAGGCGACGTGGTGAAAGGAGGAATCCGCAGTTTTTTGTTGAAAGACATGTTCATCACACTGTTGGAGTTATGGTTTGGGGTGCTATAGCTTATGGTTCCAGGTCACCTTTAATCTTCATCAGAGGTAACATGAACGCGCAGCGTTATATCCACGAAGTTCTAGAACCCCATCTTTTACCCTATCTTGACACCCTGGCAGATCCAACTTTCCAATAAGATAATGCCCGACCACATGTTGCAAGAGTCACAATAGACTTCTTTCAACATAATGATGTCACATTGTTACCATGGCCACCAAGATCTCCCGACTTATCCCCAATTGAGCACGTGTGGGATATGATGGGTAGGAGATTGCTCAATTTGCAACGTCCTCCTCAGACTCTAGAAGCACTTCGAGAGGAGTTGGTGGTTGTCTGGAATGAGATACCACAGGAGGACATTGACCACCTGATCAGAAGCATGCCTAGGCGCGTTGGAGAATGCGTAGCACATCAGGGTGCATCCACACATTATTAAAGGTCAAAGGGCTTTAAAGCAGCGCAATCATTTTGAAATCTTTATCATTTACTTATTATGCTTCATTAAGTACTTATACAAAATTTTATTAAAATAAAACCATTTAAACTGGGTGTTCGGATTTATATGTCACTTAGTATAAATAAGGGAAATAAATTGTACGCCCTTTTAAGGCTAAGATCGGCAGGGTTATTATGTAAAAAACCTTTCTAATGTCAAAAAACCGTCTTAATGTCAATGTCAAATGCTGACTAGATAGCTCCTAGTGTGCAAATAGTTCATTCTGCTTTTGCTTGCTATGAGGGCAGTGAACGTCACCCATAGCGTCCACCTATGGAAGAATGATTCAACGACATGTTCATTGACCATGCTGTAGTCAGTCCGCCAGCATGCTTTATTAGTTATAGAGCGCCAAGATAGTCTGTAGAGCATAACTCTGAGAATATGTGAAAGAAAGTAAATTGGTTGACTAGCAGAGTAGCGGGACCGCATCTGGATGATCGTGCGTATTGGTCTGCATGCGTATAAGTTATGGAATCCTGATGATTACCATTTCAACGGTACGGCTAACACCGTCCCGATAGTTTCGAACCGAAACCACACCGAGTTTCATTTCTTATACATAAAGTCAGTGATATTTGCTGTGTGAGAATATTATTACTGAATGTATATCTGTTAGCTGTATCAGACGCGTTATTTGTGTTTTCCTTCCTGAAGAGAGGTTAGGTTCAAAGTTATAAATTATGATATTTCTATACATATGTCTTTTAGCATTTTCAAAAAATTTTGCAGCATTTTCGCAGTGCCTTACATCTGATTTTTATTTTCTACTTAGCAAAATAAGTTTCTATGAAATTTAAATATCTTCAAAGACGTAAGGATGTCAGATGTATAAATTAAAAATAACAAGGGGCCCAATATTGATCCCTGAGGAACTCCCGATAGGATCTCCGCTTTGTCTGAGAATGTGTCATTTGATAGAATCGATTGATACCTTCCTGTCAAATATGCTTCCTTATTAAAGCCATATTACTGAAGTTTAGCTACCAACAATTCATGATTAATGGTATCAAAAGCTTTTGAAAAGTCTAGAAGTACCAAAACTGAACTCATCTTTTTATCATTTGCTCTTAATATGTCATCGAGTACGTTTGTTAGAGCCACTGATGTACCAAAATTTTTACGAAAACCACACTGACTACCAGGAATAATACTGTTACTCATACAAAAGTCATTAATTTGTTCATACGGCACGCTTTCAAATATACTAAGTGACATATAAATCCGAACACCCAGTTTAAATGGTTCTATTTTAATAAAAGTTGGTGAATGAATTTATCTTACTGTAAATAACAAGTGAAAAAATGTTCAGCCTTATCAGTTGGACACTCCGGTTTTTATACTGCTTTTTTTTTAATTCACTAACGCTCTAAAAATGAATATTTCAGCCGCAGTAAAGAATCAACGTTGGCGGATTTTGGTTCTTGACATCCTTTACGATCGGTTACGATGCCTAGAGTACGGAGACCTGTACGATTTCGTCAACTTAGTGAGTTTGATAGGGGCCGTATAGTGGGACTTCGGGAAGCTGGACTTTCTTTTCGGGCAATTGCAGTTAGAGTGCAAAGCAGTGTAGACACTGTGGTTAGGTGTTGTCAGGCATGGCTTCGTGAAGGCCGTACGCAAAGAGCAAGGGGCACTGGACGCCGCCGTAGAACAACAGACCGTGAAGATCGCCGCCTAAGATTATTGGCCTTAAGGGACCGTTTCTCCACTACCAGGTCCATTGCAAATGAATAGTTTGCAGAACACGGAAGACCTATTGGCATGCGAAGTGTTTACCGACGAATGAGAAGTTTTGGCTTGTTTTCATACCGGCCACACTGGGTCCTCCCTTTAACTCGAGAACACCGACGTAATCGCCTTGAGTGGTGCAGACAACGGTCACTCTGGGATCAGGAATGGAACAGTATTGTCTTTAGTGACGAGTCTCGATTTTGTTTAGGCATGCACGATGGTCGTGCCAGGGTTAGAAGGCGACGTGGTGAAAGGAGGAATTCACAGTTTTTTGTTGAAAGACATGTTCATCACACTGTTGGAGTTATGGTTTGGGGTGCTATAGGTTATGGTTCCAGGTCACCTTTAATCTTTATCAGAGGTAACATGAACGCGCAGCGTTATATCCACGAAGTTCCAGAACCCCATCTTTTACCCTATCTTGACACCCAACTTTCCAACAAGATAATGCCCGACCACATGTTGCAAGAGTCACAATAGACTTCTTTCAACATAATGATGTCACATTGTTACCATGGCCACCAGGATCTCCCGACTTATCTCCAATTGAGCACGTGTCGGATATGATGGGTAGGAGATTGCTCAATTTGCAACGTCCTCCTCAGACTCTAGAAGCACTTCGAGAGGAGTTGGTGGTTGCCTGGAATGAGATACCACAGGAGGACATTGACCACCTGATCAGAAGCATGCCTAGGCGCGTTGGAGAATGCGTAGCACATCAGGGTACATCCAGACATTATTAAAGGTCAAAGGGCTTTAAAGCAGTGCAATCATTTTGAAATTTTATCATTTACTTATTATGCTTCATTAAGTACTTATACAAAATTTTATTTAAATAAAACCATTTAAACTGGGTGTTCGGATTTATATGTCACTTAGCATATCTTTGACAAAGCAGGAAGTATATTTATCACACGAAGTTCGTTAAAACTTGATGAATTAGTTATTTTTGGTAATGGTTTTCCTATGGAGATTTTTCACTTGTCGGGAAAGTAGCTTCTGTCAATGGAACAGTTTATAATATGTGTAAGAGAATGGTTTCATAAATTGAGCAGGCTTATGATTCGGTGTGTCCAGAGCGTAACCTGTGTTACCAATTCCTCAAACTAAGCTTACTATTAAGATACATTGGTGTTTTTGTCGTCAGTATAGTTTGAACTAGTGTTATTTAATGAACCATCCACCTCTGCCATCGTAAGATAATTTATTTCTCTTAAATGACTAGGAATTATCTTTCTTCTTGCGATACTTAGAGAATACCTAATACAGCTATTTATTTGGAAGCAGATGACGGAAGGCTTTACTTGCATGGGACAGCGTTCTATACGGTTGGTTATGTACGCGGAGACGGAAAGCAAACGTCATACTCAGCATGTGCTTGACTTATGCAACGTTTGCATTAAACGTAACTGCATCTCTGAGGGACAGACGAAAATAATTACTGTTAACTTATATTCACCAAAAGAAGCTCTGTTGTCACAAGAAATCAAAAAACCGTTCATCCTTTGGAAGAATTGAATGCAAAAAATACTGATTTGACGAAAAAAAGACTTTACTCAGAAATCGACCATGTTTTACTTACTTATGTGAGAATTGAGGCACACCAAATCAGTAAGCGTACATTGATCATAGAGTTCGCTTCTAGGGAAAACACTGAAATAGTTGAAAGGTACGCACTGGCATAACGCTATAACACTCTTGATTTTACAGTCCATAATACAGTCGCTAAAACTATAGTTTCCGAATATTGTTTGTACTTCGTCCCTGAATATACATTTTCTCTAAAAAGAAACGTTATCTATAGTTTACAATCAACAATTTACAACAATAGTCTTAGTTTGTGACTTAGGCCCGTATCGTCAGTCGTCCCTACAATTGTAGGGCACCTTTATGGCGTCCTTGATTGTCATAGTTTTCTACTCCGTGTGAGAACTCTATTTTGAGGTTATGTCACAAACATCTATTTGCATCAAATTGTGCTTACTTTTGAGTTATATCGTGTTTTATCAGCCTGAAATTTCCTACAATTTAAAAAGAAAACATATCTTCACAATAGGAGAGCGCTGACGCTGACACGGGACAAGTGTAGTCTCGAAATTTTTGAAGGAGAGAAAGGAGTATGACAATCAAGGAGGCCATAAACGCGCCCTACAATTGTAGGGACGACTGACGATCCGGGCCTTAGACTCGACACTTCCGTATTAGAATTTCGTTACGATTTCACCGTTGTTACAATTGTAAATAGCATTGTTGATGCCTTGTAAGAGGTGGTTAATTTATACAGTGTTTTTCAAATGCTTCAAGATGACAGCTGGGCGCTACTTTGAAACATTTTTTTAAATGGAGTGAAGGTCATTCGATGCCTTATTTTGAAGCTCCTTTTAAGTACCTCATTATCCTAGAACATAAAATTGCTATCGTCCAAACGGCTGTGAAGTTTGAGCGCTTATATTCATTCAATCTCCTATAGCTCAATAACAAATTATTAAAACGTTATTGTTTATCATATTGATCTTTTACTTCCAGTTTAAAAAAATTACCTCTTGACACTTTTTCTAAATTGTATTACATATTCGGATAGACTCTTCCAAGAAAATATAAATTAATTATTTTTATTACCTTCAATCCCAGCTTCAACTGCTAATCTGTCCAAAAAATTGGTAGGGAGGCTTTTTTGAAAAGCACTGTATGGATTTTGTTTCAAGAAAATATATACAAACAATAACCTTTATCGATTTACTATTATTATTCAAAGAAAAGAAATATCCAGTTTTCGAAGATTATTTATTTTAAACCGATTATAGCGATGTGCCATATTTTGGAATTCCGATTTCCGATGACGCGTTCAGGTATTTCCAGTGCCAGCCATTATCACGCCATAATAACACAAATCACTGTCCGAAAATAAATATTTGGCTTCAACAAGTGTGATGTCACACCTCCAGACCTGTTTCCCTTGAGGCTGTGTCTACAGGGTGTTTCAGTTTATTGTTGCATAACTTTAAGAAAAATGCGTGGCTTCCGAAATATAGGGTGTTTAAATTTACTTTCTAAAATAGTTTTTTTTAAATATTTCGAACAATATTTGATGTATAACAGTGAAAATTGGTATACAAGGGTTTTTTGGTACGACAAAACGAACCATAGTTTTATTGTCGCCGCTAGAGGGCGCTCTCTACTGTACCTGTAGTGTATTAAAATGACCGAAAATTTTTTCGTAGTGCAATTTTTTGCTTTTTGAATAAAAAACTGATTCTTCGCACTTTTCAACATAAAAAAGCTCTCCTGTGAGTTTTTGAGGTATTTCGATTTTTAGGGTTCGATGCATTTTTAATTATTTATGGGAAAATAATATTTTTTTTACATTTTCGATTTGGGCATTACAAATAGTTAAGATGATCGTTTAGATTGTATTTTTAAACACAGCAATAATTCCTAACTCCAAATAAACACAAAAAGCAGAATATTAATTTGTTTAATCTTCCAATATTATTTTTAACAAATTAAATTAATTATTTACAACTAAAATGCTATTGGATAGTTAGGACAAACATACAAAATCTAAAGTAGTTGCTCGAAATGTAAACCCAATTGTTCAATACACAATTCACATCTACGAATGATCGAACGTGGTATAGCATCATTCAAATAAGGCCTTATTTCATCACCTGCATTCCTGATTCTGTCTAATAGCATATCTCTTGTGGTTACGGGAGTCTGGTACACTTTTTCTTTTAGAAATCCCCACACAAAGAAATCTAATGGATTTAGGTCAGGGGATCGTGGAGGCCAGGCGACTGGTCCTCCACGGCCGATCCATCTTTCTGGATAATTTTCATCCAGCCAGTTTCTAACTATTCTCGAATAATGAGCTGGACACCCATCAAGCTGGAACCAGGCCAATCTTCTTAAATCTGACATAACATCATCCCACATATTTGCATGTTCAGCCTTTAAAAATTCCAAGAAGGTTGCAGCATTTAACCTTGCAGGCAAAAGGTAGGGTCCAAATAGTCCATTACGGTAAATACCAACCCACACGTTCACACTAAATTCATGCTGAAAATTTCTTTCCCGAACTGCGTGCGGATTTTCATGCGACCAAATATGTTGATTATGAAAATTTACCACGTCTAGTGAAGCATGACTCATCGGTCCATAAAACGTTACTATTATATATATATTACTATATACGTATACTCCCTATTATTATCAGTTCTATCAAGAATCCACTGACAAAATGTGATTCTTCGTTCTGCGTCCCCTGGCTGTAGTCCTTGCACAGGTTGCAAATGGTAAGGACGTCTATGGTCATTTCTAAGAACACGGTGAACATGGCTTGCTGAAATTCCCAAGGCACCAGAAACTCTCCTAACACTTGTGGTCGGATCTCTATCAAACTCACACAAAATCATACGGGTAAATCTGCGCTGACGAACATTTGTGTTTTGATCCCTTTGGAGATTTCCAAAACCATTTTCAATTATTTGGCGATGCACTCTTACAAATACTGAGCGAGTTGGATGCCTGTTTGGAAATCTTCGTGCGTATTCTCTGGCTGCTTCTGCTGCGTTTCCATTTACAAAGCCATTTACAAAATGAATATCCGCTAAATTTCGTGCATTCACAATTGCAAAACTAAATGTCAACTAATTGACGTTTAACCTTATTCTGCATTCAATTTCAAAAATATCTGCAGGCACAGCCTACTTCTAAAAATTATCGAGATACTGACTTTTTAACGTTATTTTATCATAAATAATTAAAAATGCATCGAACCTTAAAAATCGAAATATTTCAAAAACGGCTAACTATAACGAAAATTTAGAAGAGAGCTTTTTCATGTTGAAAGTTGCGAAGAATCAGTTTTTTATTCAAAAAGCAAAAACTTGCACTAAGAAAAATTTTCGGTCATTTTAATACGCTACAGATACAGTAGAGAGCGCCCTCTAGCGGCTACAGTAAAACTATGCCCATGGTTCGTTTTGTCGTACCAAAAAACCCTTGTATACCAATTTTCACTGTTATACATCAAATATTGTTCGACATATTTAAAAAAAAATATTTTAGAAAGTAAATTTAAACACCCTGTATTTCGGAAGCCACGCATTTTTCGACCCATGTTTATATAGATTTTATGCATTAATTTTAATAGTTCTATCGAATCTTGAAGTTATGCAACAATAAACTGAAACACCCTGTATATGGATAAGAGAGTACGATAGAAGAATTATGAACCAGGATTACTCGTTTTATTGGCCAAATATCGTTCCAATTAAATAAACGCATCATCAAAAATTGTAACTTCAAAATGGTCCTCATTAATCGCGGTGACATTTGAAGAAAATGATTTTTATGGATGTTTCTTTTGTTTGATAAAAAAAGAAAAAATAATATGCGAATGAAGAATGCATTATCTTATGAATTTCTTTTGGAAGTACTACTTTATTGAAATATGATTTTGATGGAGAAAATACTGATTTCCCAAAAAACGCGGTTGTCTTTAATATTTCAGGTCACTGCTCTTGATCGTTATTGTTTTCGCAATTTCAAAAGCGTGTCTGGTTTTTCTGAATTGTTCCTTGAAATACACTATGCTGAGTTTACCTTCTCGATAGGATAGTTCTTAACTTCTGGAGTGGTAGTGGTTGTCACAGCATCATATCTTATGAAGCTTTCAACTCCAATGTTAACTATCTCTTCCGATAACCCACCAGAAGCTTTGTCTGGATAATCCGTCGACAAAGATATCAATATCTGAAGATAAAATATCATCCATAGATAACACGTCATAACTGAGTATTCTTCCCCCCATCAATGATGTACAAGATACCCTATACAAAGTATCTGGAATACAAAATACAAAAAAAACTATTTCAGATACCAGATACAAAATACTTTGTGGAATTGTATCCAAAAATGCTAGATACAATATACGTATCGTTCGAATGCTTTTTATAGGAAAATAATTTTGTTAGAAAACGGCATTTTATTCAGTTAATTTTATTGCACGGATTGTTCACGCGTTGATCGCCCAAATGTAACAAAATATCATACTGCATTTTAACCGAGTCAAGTATAGCCAGTTTTTCAAACATTCTATCACTCATTTCTCTTTGATGAGGCCCTATGATCATACGCCCAAAAGAGAAGAGTCGCTCCACAGAGGCAGAACTTGGGAAACAGGAGTTGTCTTTGAAAACATGGTTTTATTGAAGGGATAAGCATTTAAAGCTGATGTCTTTTTATTTAGGTATTGCAGTGTTTCTAACTAAGCGGTGCTACAAGTATACTTTATCTGAAGTCACTTGAAATAGCATAAAAACCTTTGGTCGGCGCGTCCTTTGTAATTTCATGACGTATCATAGGCGTGCGGTCATTTATTTAGAACGATAATAATAATGTTTTTATATCACAATAAATGGATTTTACTATCTTCTTATTTTTTTGATTTGGGATAAAAAATACTTATATTGGGAGTTTAATTTATGTTGACTGAAAGTTAAGAAATGGAAAAATTACAGAATTCCAACGTTTGACATAGGCAAATATTTACATAGCAGGTAGGTATATAAAAAGGTATATAAAGACTTACATTATAGGTATTTATATATCATCCTCGCCTTCGGAGCTGTCGCTAGAGTCATCTTGTAGAGGAATTACAACGGGATTTACAGGAGGCAAAACACAATATTCATTTTCTTTTTCAATAATATGCCTAGAACACTGCTTCCATAGGTCTGTGGCAGCAATATGAGATACTGCATCTCTTATTGTGGCCAATAGCGATTCACTTAATTGAGGGGTCTGATTATGTTTTCTTACTTTTTTTTTAAAGCAGCCCAGACCAACTCAATCGGGTTAAAAATGCAGTAATAGGGAGGTAGACGTAATGCTTCATGGCCATTTTGCTGAAGCAGATTGTCAACAACATACTCTTCTTCAAATTTTTGTCTTTTAATAAGATCCAATAATATGGCTTTGGTTGATTTTTGTGGTATTTCCATTCCCTTATCCTTCATAAAATCAATAATGTCTTGTTTTTTTGTGCCTGTATTCGGATTTTGTTTTTCTGTCGGGAATGGTATGGCGCATTGTCCATAATAATCACTGAATTTGGGGAAATGTTTGGTATTAACTGCTGCTCTATCCACTTTTCAAATAAGTCGGAGGTCATGTCCTCATGATAGTCGGCACATGATTCTTTGATATTTTTGGCAGAAAGGCATTAGGTATAAATCCATTTTCACTGCCAGCATGGAGAATAATGATTCGTTTTCCACGGTTGCATGGTGCATTTAAAATGCACTTGTTGCTGTCGTCAACCCAGCCGTACTGCACAACATCATGGGTATCATACCACGTTTCATCCAGGTAAATCAGATTTCTTTTCTGCTCTCTATAGATTTCAACTTTGTGCAAAAATTCTTGGCGCGATTCAACGATTCGAGACGACTCCATAATCACCATTCTTTTATCTAATTTTTTGTATTGAAAACCACACAGTTTTACAATACAGTGCAGTGAGTCTAAGCATTTGTAATTATAAAAATCTTCAGGATAATCTTTTAATTTATCCCGTATCATTTCCAACGTGGGCACCAAATTTTCTTTATAAAATCCGTATATTATACGACGAATATCTTCCTGAAAACCCACGTCTATTCTTTTTAATTTTTGCCCTATGCGCTTTCTGTGGAAGGAATGGTTGACTACATCTCCCCTTTTTATAACCCGATAAATGGTAGACCGACTGATTTTTGTCAGGATACAAATTCTGTTTAAAATTTGATTTTGCGTGGAATCTGGATTTTCGTTATTCAGACAATCATTCATATTTAGGATTACTCTTTGGGTCTGTTCCTCTAAATCTTTATGAAAGAATTCTGCCTGCACAGGTTCATCAACCATCTCCTCGTGGCTTGGAGCATTTTCCCAAGGTCTCCAAATAGCCATATTTAGGACACACAAGAACAATCAACACAACAATTAAATCAACAAGTAAACTGAGTATTCAAAAGTCAGAAACACACAAACTAATAAAATCTATGAAGAAACACGGACAGACTAAAGAAAACACGTTTATTCACCGCTACACGGCACTAAACTGTTTCAATTTTCAGTAGCCACCTGCACTTGTTCGGAGCTCTGAAATACACGCTTTCTCATTGGCTATGTCCACGCAAAGGCGTGCTTTACTCCACGTGGACCGGTGAAACTGCCTTTGATCTTATACGGGGGATATTTGCTGCGAAATTTGGCGATTTTTGCAGCAACAGAGCGTGTTAAATATAGATATATAAAACGCACCCGGTATTTCACAGTGTTTCAAGTGAATTCAGATAAAGTATACACACTGTGTTTTCACGACTTACAATACAGGAATCAGAATCATCTAAAATCATGGGATGAGATTTCTGTTTTGACTTCCTTTTTATATCACTTCTAATATTGTCTAAGGCCTCCGGTTATTCTTTATTTGATCGACTAGTGCTTCGTGTTTCAGACTGTATAAGTTCACGAGACCTGTTCAATTGAAATCCATCTTTGGTCAGGTTAACTTTGGAAACAATTCTAACTGACGTTTAGCAATGTTAATTGTGTTTGTAAACGTCACACTGATCAGTTCGTGTCAAACTTCCGCTGTAGGTAATGAATCCCTTTAATCTTGTTCAAAGGTGGGAAATATTGAAAAACTATTGTTGTGAGTGCTGTATTGCAGAAACTTTGCGAAAATAGAAGACTATTTGGTCGAAATGAAGCTCAGTTCGCGACTGCTATACGCAAATTCGTGAAGAAGGTTCGTAAAACTGGCCTACTTGCTGAAATTGTTTTTCATAAATAATAAGGTGTATTCTTTCATAAATAACGGCAGCAGGCACAAGAATTCTTTAAGCAGGGTATACATTGATTGGTGAAACAATGGGATAGGTGCCTTAATTTTAGTGGTAATTAGTTGTATAAATTTTTCTGGACCAAAGACGTGTTTCAATTGAACAAGCCTCGTACTTCTACATATTTTTGGACCCAAAACTATTATGTGAAGAAATTTAACTCCTCCTTAAAGTATTTTAGCAAAGATGGACAAACGAATACAAATACAAAGATATCTGAATACAAGATACAAAAACAATTTAAAAAAAATGTCTTTGATACAAGATGAAAATACGTATTTTGTATCGTGTACCGGTATTTCAGGTACTGGTGTCTTAAATGAGTCCCCCCACGTCAATTAGAATATGAATGTTGAAACAAACAATATTGTTGAACGCTTTGGTTCAAAGGACGATCAAAAAGTGAGTTTTGTGTATTTGTATCCAGTGTTTGCAAAAATTGTTTTGAGTTTGTCTATCGACTTGTGTCTGTTCGATATTTTTTTTCAAAATATGTTAGAACATGTTCGGTCTTTGAATTGTGTTCAATAACTATTCCCTAAATGGTAAAAGAATAGGATATTCTGAAAAATTAAAAACTAAAAAGCACTGAAATAACAATAACATATTTAAGATAATTGCAGTATTTGAAGGTACAGGTGGACAGACAGTGTTTAGCAGTCAACAATATTGCAGTTATTTGTCATTTGGGTCATACTATACCTTACTGCCTAAAGTACTCATAGTAGTATACGTCATGTCAGTAACGTTGAACAAAATTTTAAAATTCAAACCACCATTCCCGATTTTTACAGCATTATTATCATTTTCTTTCCTGAAATAGATACTATAAAATAATGGGTTGTCCAATAGGGACGCAGGAAAGTAAACGTCAATTTGACATAGATGCCATCTTTGTTTTCTGTCACCGACATGTCGTTTTTGTTAGTTGAATGTTTACCATTGATCGCTATGGAGTCGTATTCGATTGAAGACCGCATTACAGTTATTCAAGAGCACTACAAAAATGGTGCAAAAATAAAAAACACGTTTCGCGCGCTTCGTGAACATTTCGGTCGCAACAACCGCTCAAACGAAACAACTATCGGTCGTCTGGTGCATAAATTCGAGGCAACAGGTTCTGTGGCAAATCTGCCAGGCTCTGATAGGCCAAGGAGCGTTCGTATACCGGAAAATATTGCTGTTGTGAAGGAGAGTGTGAGAGACGATCAGAAACAATCAACAACGCGTCGATCCCAAGAATTGGGCATTTCGAGAACCAGTTTGCTCCGCATTCTCCACAAGGATTTGAATGTACACGCCTACAAGATCCAATTGACGCAAGAGCTGCGTCGGGCCGACCATTTTTCGCGCCGAACGTTCTCAGATTGGCTCCTTGAATACCGCCAAATTGATGCCAATTTTTCATCAAAAATCATGTTCAGTGACGAAGCGCATTTCACTTTGAATGGGACGGTAAACAAGCAACACTGCCGCATCTGGGCGAACGAAAATCCCCGTGAGTACCAAGAGCAGCCGATGCATCCTCAAAAAGTGACTGTGTGGTGTGCATTGTGGTCAAAAGGCATCATCGGACCTTACTTTTTCGAAAATGCAGCCGTAGACGCCGTTACCGTCAATTCTGAGCGATATCACGTGATGATAGAGGCCTATTTTTTGCCGCAACTTGAAGGAATGGATATGGACGATGTTTATTTCCAACAAGACGGTGCAACATGCCACACAACCAACGTCAATATCCATCGATTGCAGTCCTTCTTCGGTGATCGCGTGATTTCGCGCAGAGGAAATAATAATAATAATAATAATAAACGTCTTTATTTCCAAATGGACTGATTATATAAAAAAATAGCAAAATACGGGCGAAGTTCAGCTGTCGCTGCTCTTCCACTTAACCCGCTATAAAAAAAGTCCGTACAAAAGGTGGGTGAGACCTACTTATTCTACACATTACAAATATTAAATGTATATGCATTGCCTACATTAATACATCTACTAAAATTAATCATAAACTTGTATCAATATTTTCCTGAGACATGGTTACTACTGCTGGGATAAGAGATATTTTTTTAATTGAGTTTTGAAACTTGAGATGCTCAGAGTTTTATATTGTACCGGAAGGGTGTTATAAACGGAACAAATTTGGTAGCTGAACGATCGTTCAAATTGGGCTGTTCGGAATATCGGCGGTGTCAGCAACCCCCTGGATCTTATATTGATGTTATGCACATCTGTTCGAAATGTAACTTTTTCAAATAAGTAAGTGGGGGTCTTATACATAATTATTTTATGATATAATGTTGCGGCATGCAAAAATCTTCTTGTTTCCATGTTCAACCAATTCGCATCTTTCAACTTATGGGATATTCGGTCTCGTCTTCTGATGCCATATATTAATCTGAGGCAAGAATTCTGCGCAACCTGAATTTTTTGTTTGTAAGTGGCAGTTAAGCATGGGCCATACAACATATCAGAAAAATTGAAGTGCGAGAGCACCAACGACTCACATAGATTTATTTTGACTTTAACGGGAAGGTTACGTCTGTTGCCGTGCAATATTTTTAAAGAGGAATATGCCTTACGAATGAGCGAATTTACATGTTTTTCAAATCTTAAATTTACATCCAATGTTACACCCAAGTTCTTTGCTTCACTGACAGTTTCAAGTTGTTGTGCATTGATGGTAAAGTTAATTGAGTTAGTAACAGCCTGGCGCGCATGCTTTGGCCCAAATACAATTACTTTAGATTTGCTAGAGTTAAGATGCAAACAATGTTCTTCGGCATTCTTTGTCAATAATGATAAATCTCTGTTGATGGTTGCACTCACAGTGTCCACATCACTGGGTAGAAAAGTATGATACAGCTGAGTGTCATCAGCATAGCAGTGCATTTTGCAAGTATTTAAGCCTTTGCCGAGGTATGAAGTATAAATTGCAAAAAGGAGCGGACCCATAATAGAGCCTTGCGGCACGCCTGATTTTAAGGCTAATACGTCAGAATAACTTCCCTCCAAGAAAACCTTTTGCTTTCTGCTCTTTAGATACTTACTGAAAAAGTTGACACTATCCGAATCGAGGCCTATAAAATGCAATATATTTAGGAGTAAATTAAAATTGAACGTATCGAAAGCTCGACTAAAATCCAACATTATCAAAACTGTACACCTTCCCTGATCAGTGGCTCTGATAATGTCATCTGTTACATGTACAAGTGCAGTTGTACAGCTAAAATTCTTTCTAAAACCAGATTGAATTGGAGAAAGCAAAGAAAACTTTGATAGATGTTCCATCAATTGCTTCTCAACCGCTTTTTCTAATAATTTTGACAATGCTGGTAAAATGCTTATTCCTCTGAGGTGATTAAAATCTGAAGGATTTAGCTTTTTGGGAATTACTTTTACAACTGCACTCCCCCATGCTTCTGGAAAAACATTTTGAATCAAACAACAATTTATTATATGCCTGATATAAGGAATAACATGTGGACAGCAAAGTTTTATTAGAAAGATACTCAAGCCATCACAGCCTGCAGCATTTGTTTTAATACCAGAGATAGCTTGATATATGAATATTTCATCAATTTCTTTAAATTTGAATTTGGAGTTTGTCAGACAGTTATTTTTGTAAAAATTTATTAAGGAATCTGGAGGTTCACTTGGGGAGATGGAATTTATAAAAAAATCATTCAGAAGGTTCACATCCATTAGGTTAGGGGGCAATGAGTTACTAAAGTTATTTTTTAGCATCTTGTTTTGTTTTAATATCCTCCACATTTACTGAGAGCTGCTATACAAGAACTTATGGAAGAAATACGCTCTTTTCTCTCTTCCAATAGCGCTAGTGACATAATTCTTTAAATCTTTATAATACTGTAAATGCGCATGAGTACCTGATCGTTTATAACTTTTAAGTGCTTCATCACGGAGCTGCTGCATTTGTTTGATCGTATCAGTCATCCATGGCGCCCTACCTTTTGTAACGCGTTTTCCAACTAAAGGGGCATGTCTGTCGAATAATTCAACTAAGCAGTTAGTGAAAAAGGCTATTTTCGTATCAATGCTGTCTTGGTCGAACATTTGGAAAAAAGATATACCACGGAGATCATTCAGAAAATGTTCCTCATTGAAAAACTGGAAACTTCTATATGTGATAAATTTTTCTTTTGAATGTGGATTACCAACTGACATTTTACAAAAAACCAAAAAGTGATCTGATACCTGGCCAACATCAATTATTCCTTTGTCTAAAACAAGTTCCTCCCGTAATAAGATAAGATCCAAGAGCGTTGCTGAAACACCCGATATTCGCGTTGGTCCTTCAATAATTTGTGTTAGCTCGAATACCTCTAAAACAGAATAAAAGTTATTAACAGCACTATTCAAGTCCAACAAATTTATATTAAAATCTCCAGCTATTATAACATCATCCACAGTAGGATATATCAAACTCAAAGCTCAATGTACCATGGCCACCAAGATCGTGCGATTTGACTCCCTTGGACTTCTTTTTATGGGGATATTTGAAAAGCAAAGTCTACGTCAACAAACCAGCCACCCTCCAAGAACTCAAAAACAACATCATTGCCGAGATAAATGCCATAGAACCGACCATGTTGCAAAATGTCATTGAAAATTTCGACCATCGCGTGGACGTCTGTAAATCCAGTCGTGGTGAACATTTGAGCGATATTATTTTTCATACATAAATGGTATAAATGAACCTTCAAAATAAAGTACCCAACTTGATTTGAATATCAATCTTTCTTGTTTTAATATGCGTTTACTTTCCTGCGTCCGTTTTGGACAACCCCATCTAATGATCCCTCTACCGATGATAAGCCTTACAGTATTCTAGGAAACTCAGCAGTTTTTCTCTGTGCGATATAGTTAAAGACACAGCAGAAACCTTCCATAGTTAGTTCAGTCACAAACAGGTCACTACAATTCCAAAACGCGCCATGTAAAACACAGTCTGTTAGGGTTTCGTGACATGGTGTTGTTAACTGGAAATTCATGAAGGAAAATGTGAAAAAGTCTACATTTTCTCACCCAAAGACAAAAATCGATCTCAGCTTCTGTACTCAGAACGAGATTGTACGTGAGCTAACTCCATAGGACCATTGATTAAAGTATTCTCAAAGATGCTCAACCCTTACATACAATTTCCATCTTCATAGCTATACAGGGTGACTTCGAAGTTGAGTCATTTATTTTAACAGTGAGTAGATCTAATCAAAAGAAATGTTTTTTTCCTTTACCATTTTTCTGGTAAAATTAAAGAAACAAAGTTATAGCCCTTTGGAAGTTTGAGTACCGCCCTGTCTCAATAATAATATTATGTGCTCGTGTCTGGCAACAACGAATATAATCCGCCTTATCGGTTCATCGCATCGGAAACAAAAAAGCGATAGAATTTGGAACGATGTTTTTACAATTATTTTATTCAGTTGTATACGTATACAGTCAATGTCAGTCGGTAACGCGTGAGTGAATAGTGGTGTCTGTTGCGTGGCTCAAACGAAATAAAAAATGGCACATGTTTATGCGGATCGGTTTTCCAATCGAGTGCAACCAACCCCTCGTGCCTTTGTTAATGTAGTACAACGGGCTCGTGAATCAGGTGACTTAAGACCTCACAGGGGACGGCATGCCGGTGCTCCAAGACCTCACGATCAAATACAGGTCCGCACTGAAATACTTGTCGGGAGGATACTTTATAAAACAAGGTAAAACATTTTTTTTATTTTTTTTTCATTTTTACACACATCTTTTGGTTTATCTTCCTTCTACAATCATTATCTGAAAATTAATGACTCAACTTCAAAGTCACCGTATTGCCAAGTAGTAACCAAGGGTAACCGCTCGTTTTTCATAAAAATCGTTTATGCTTTAACACGGCATCAACGTTCCAAATAAGTAGCAGTAGAGAGGCCAGCTTCCACGCTTTTAGCCAATCTCTTAGACATCTACTGGGCTACTAGGTACACAGGGTGTCTCATCCATTTGGGGTCGGAATATCGCTTCTAAACAGACACACATCTCATCTAATTTTTTTAAAAATTGGTAGATTTAGGTTCGTAACCACGGCGGATCCGTTGATGGCATCCGCGATGTTGCCAAGTCTACAGTTTTTCAGAAAATAATAGCCACTTTTGTTTTTCTTATGGAATGCTATACATTTTATTCGATATTTGTATTCTTGGAGAAATTCTGAATACTTTTTATTAAACATACTTTGACATAAACCTCAGTTTCCGAAATAACAAAAAAATGAATTTTTCACCTAAACAATGACCGGTCTGGAAAATAATTTCCTGTCATTTCTGACATTGAAAAGTCCATCTTGTTAGTAGAGTTAATAAAAATACAGGGTGTTTCAGTTTATTGTTGCATAACTTTATGATTCGATAGAACTTTTAAAATTAATGCATAAAGTCTATATAAACATGGGTCGAAAAATGCGTGGCTTCCGAAATACGGGGTGTTTAAATTTACTTTCTAAAATAGTTTTTTTTTAATATTTCGAACAATATTTGATGTGTAACAGTGAAATTTGGTATACAAGGGTTTTTTGGTACGACAAAACGAACCATGGACATAGTTTTACTGTAGCCGCTAGAGGGCGCTCTCTACTGTACCTGTAGTGTATTAAAATGACAGGAAATTTTTTCTTATTGCAATTTATTGCTTTTTGAATACTAAAACTGATTCATCGCACTTTTCAAGATAAAAAAGCTCTATTGTGAATTTTCGTTATATTTAGCCGTTTTTGAGATATTCCGATGTTTAAGGTACGATGCATTTTCAATTATTTATGATAAAATTTGTTTTGTGACATATCTTGTACCTAAATTTTACAATTTGATTCCTGCTAATATCAGGAATATTGGAAATAATAAAAAATTTAATATTTCGTTTAATATGTTCTGTTGGGAAAATCGTGAACAATTTATGCGTCTATTTTAAGTTGCTTTGAGGTAGTTTGATCTGCCTATTTGTTCCATCTCTTTCTTTTTAATATTATTGTGACACTTTTTTTCTGTGATCTTAAGTTAAATCTATTACTTATAAAAATATGAAATTTTCTTTCATTTTGTGTATATCGTGTATCATGTTTTGTTTGTATAGTTGAGTGATTTTATACAAAAATATATATTGCACGATATTTATCAATTAATTACTGTTTTGGTCTGTTTTTGCGCATACAAGTTTTTAAACTTAGGCGCTCATATATTATAGAGAAACCTTGTTTTTGTTTCGTTAATTTACAGATATATATTATTTTTATATTGGTAAATTTTGTGTTCTGCTGAATAAATGTGGTAGAGTTCAGGGCGTACTGTTCTCTCCAACAACAAATAACGTTAAAAAGTCAGTATCTCGATAATTTTTAGAAGTAGGCTGGGCCTGCAAATATTTTTGAAATTGAAAGCAGAATAAAGTAAAACGTCAATTAGTTGACAGTTAGTTTTGTTGTCTGTTGAAACCTAAAACGTTTTTTTGCAATTGTGAATGCACGAAATTTAGTTTCTTTTACCTGTTTTTTTTTGTAAGTTTTATATAAATGCCATTTTTATTCTCCAATCAAGAGTTAGCGGATATTCATTTTGTGTATGGCTTTGTAAATGGAAACGCAGCAGAAGCAGCCAGATAATACGCACGAAGATTTCCAAACAGACGACATCCAACTCGCTCAGTATTTGTAAGAGTGCATCGCCAAATAACTGAAAATGGTTTTGGAAATCTCCAAAGGGATCAAAACATAAATGTTCGTCAGCGCAGATTTACCCGTATGATTTTGCGTGAGTTTGATAGAGATCCGACCACAAGTGTTAGGAGAGTTTCTGGTGCCTTGGGAATTTCAGCAAGCCATGTTCACCGTGTTCTTAGAAATGACCATAGACGTCCTTACCATTTGCAACCTGTGCAAGGCTACAGCCAGGGGACGGAGAACGAATAATCGCATTTTGTCAGTGGATTCTTCATAGAACTGATAATAATAGGGAGTTTTTAAGTAACGTTTTATGGACCGATGAGTCATGCTTCACTAGACGTGGAGTGGTAAATTTTCATAATCAACATATTTGGTCGCATGAAAATCCGCATGAAGTTCGGGAAAGAAATTTTCAGCATGAATTTAGTGTGAACGTGTGGATTGGTATCTACCGTAATCGACTATTTGGACCCTACCTTTTGCCTGCAAGGTTAAATGCTGCGACTTTCTTGGAATTTTTAAAGGCTGAACATGCAAATATGTGCGATGATGTTATGTTAGATTTAAGAAGATTGGCCTGGTTCCAGCTTGATGGTTGTCCAGCTCATTATTCGAGAATAGTTAGAAACTGGCTGGACGAAAATTATCCAAAAAGATCCCCTGACCTAAATCCATTAGATTTCTTTGTGTGGGGATTTCTAAAAGAAAAAGTGTACCAGACTCCCGTAACCACAAGAGATATGCTAATAGACAGAATCAGGAATGTATGTGATGAAATAAGGCCTTATTTGAATAATGCTATACCACGTTCGATCATTCGTAGATCTGAATTGTGTATTGAACAATTGGGTTTACATTTCGAGCAACTACTTTAGATTTTGTATGTTTGTCCTAACTATTCAATAGCATTTTAGTTGTAAATAACTAAATTTGTTAAAAATAATATTGGAAAATTAAACAAATTAATATTCTGTTTTTTGTGTTTATTTGGAGTTAGGAATTATTGCTGTGTTTAAAAACACAATCTAAACGATCATCTTAATTACTGGTAATGCCTAAATCGAAAATGTAAAAAAATGTTATTTTCCCATAAATAAATAAAAATGTATCGGACCTTAAAAATCGAAATATCTCAAAAACGGCTAACTATAACGAAAACTCACAGGAGAGCTTTTTTATGTTGAAAAGTGCGAAGAATCAGTTTTTTTATTCAAAAAGCAAAAAATTGCACTAAGAAAAAATTTTCTGTCATTTTATACACTACAGGTACAGTAGAGAGCGCCCTCTAGTGGCTACAGTAAAACTATGCCCATGGTTCGTTTTGTCGTACCAAAAAACCCTTGTATACCAATTTTCTTTGTTATACATCAAATATTGTTCGAAATATTTAAAAAAAAACTACTTCAGAAAGTAAATTTAAACACCCTGTATTTCGGAAGCCACGCATTTTTCGACCCATGTTTATATAGACTTTATGCATTAATTTTAAAGGTTCTATCGAATCTTAAAGTTATGCAACAATAAACTGAAACACCCGGTATATTTATTTAACTAAAACTAAGAGGATAGAAATTATAATACTTATTGATTAAAGTAGTACATTTGATATTCCAAGGAAACAAGAGAAAAATTACTAATTGTTAATTCAAACTTCAAAACAAGATAAAAGTAATATACTTCTTGGCAATAAGCTAGATATTGCGGAAATGCGTTTAGAATATTTTAAAGACATCCGCTTTCCTTAATTCTTCTGCATTCATCTTTTATTCGTTGTTTTAGTTCCTCCAAATCGAATGGTCTCGTTTTGTAAACTACATTTTTGAGTGCCCCCAAAATAATCGAGGGGTGTGAGGGTGTCGAGGTTGCCATTCAAAGTATCCATCTACCAAAAAATGTTTGATCCAAAAATTCGCCAAGATTTCGAGCGTAATGTTGAAGCCATATTCTATCTTTGGGCACTCTATTATTTACTAAAAGAAAGCAATATTGATATTTTTTATTGTTTGTGGTAATAAAAGTTAATTACAAAGATTGGGAAATACTTCCGCCAAAGCTAGGACAACGTGCTTCCTCAAAAGATGGGAATATCATTCAGCGTTAGATTTTCTTTCATAAAAAAACGGATCGATTATCTTTTGATTTTATGGCACAGACCCAAACATAATTTTTTTGTGGATATTGTGTAAGATGTTCCCGAACCCAATGAGGATTTTCCCTGGCCCAGTAGCGGCAGTTATGGCGATTAGGAGTTCCCTTCAAAGAAAAACTTGACTCACTGAAATGTTCATTTCTATTACGCATGTCCATCATGGTCTCACAGAATTAAAAGCTCATGTCAAAACCATCGTCTGATAGCTCTTCAGTCAAGGTGATTCTGTGAGGATGGAATTTTTCCGTCTTTAAATTGCATTCCACCGACGTGTGAGATGTATTGTTATCTTCAGCAAGTGTTCTAGTAGAAAGGTGGGGCGTTACGCTATGTGCACCAAAATATTCAAAGCCTTATTTTCGTCAGTGGCTGTTTTGGGTCGGCCAGATCATGGAACATAATTTACATGTCCTGTTATTTCAAATTTCCTCAAAACTTTTCCATCAGTAGACCTTGTTATCGGATTCCGGTTGGGGTATTTGCAAATATCGCAAACTAACGTCGACGATCGCCATAACCCAGAATCATTGGGATTTCTATTCTCTCGGTTTCAGTTAAATGAATAACTCTACTAACAAAACTCGATGAACTTTTGAATGTCAGAAATGACAGGGAATCCCTTTCGATACCGGTCCTTGCTTAGTTGGAAAATATTGCTTTTGTTGTTTGAATATTAATGTTTCACCGCGAATATTTCAAAAACTATGAGGTCTACGTCAAAGTATGTTTAATGAAAAGTATTCAAAATCTCTCACAGAATACAAACATTGAATAAAATGTATAGCATTCCTTGAGAAAAACAAAAGTTGCTATCAGTTTCTAAAAAACTGTAGATTTGGCAACATCGCCGATATCATCAACGGATCCGCCGTGATTTCGAACCTAAACTTATCATTTTTTTTTAAAATTTGTCAGATATTCAATGCGCTTCAAACTTTTCTTACAGTCTGTATATTATCATGCGCGGTATGTGGATGCACATTTATAAAATACAATTATACAGGGCGTCTCAATTTTGACCTACATATCAAAGGCATTTTTTTAAATGGAATGCCTAATTTTTTATTTTAGGTTCGAATATACCATTTTGAAGAAGGAAGACGGGTTTTTATTACTAGATGTATATTTTATCTAAAAGAAACATTTAAGTTTGACATCCTGCACACCCGCTACATCAACAGATGCAGTAGTAAATTTTGCCTTATTTTCGTCAGTGGCTGTTTTGGGTCGGCCAGATCGTGGAACATAATTTACATGTCCTGTTATTTCAAATTTCCTCAAAACTTTTCCATTAGTAGACCTTGTTATCGGATTCCGGTTGGGGTATTTGCAAATATCGCAAACTAACGTCGACGATCGCCATAACCCAGAATCATTGGGATTTCTATTCTCTCGGTTTCAGTTAAATGAATGATTCGCAATAACTCTACTAACAAAATTCAATGAACTTTTGAATGTCAGAAATGCCAGGAAATTCCTTTCGATACCGGTCCTTGCTTAGTTGGAAAAGATAGCTTTTATTGTTTGAATATTAATGTTTCACCGCGAATATTTCAAAAACTATGAGGTCTACGTCAAAGTATGTTTGATGAAAAGTATTCAAAATCTCTCACAGAATACAAATATTGAATAAAATGTACAGCATTCCTTGAGAAAAACAAAAGTTGCTATCAGGATCCACCGTGATTTCGAACCTAAACTTACCAATTTTTAAAAAAATTCGTCAGATATTCAATGCGTTTCAAACTTTTCTTACAGTCTGTATATTATCATGCGCGGTATGTGGATGCACATTTATAAAATACAATTATACAGGGCGTCTCAATTTTGACCTCCATATCAAAGGCATTTTTTTAAATGGAATGCCCAATTTTTTATTACAGGTTCGAATATACCATTTTGAAGAAGGAGGCCGGGTTTTTATACTAAGTGACATAAATCCGAACACCCAGTTTAAATGGTTTTATTTTAATAAAAGTTGGTGAATGTATTTATCTTACTGTAAATAACAAGTGAAAAAAATGTCAGCCTTATCAGTTGGACATTCCGGTTTTTATACTGCTTTTTTTTAATACACTAACGCTCTAAAAATGAATATTTCAGCCGCAGTAAAGAATCAACGTTGGCGGATTTTGGTTCTTGACATCCTTTACGATCGGTTACGATGCCTAGAGTACGGAGACCTGTACGATTTCGTCAACTTGGTGAGTTTGATAGGGGCCGTATAGTGGGACTTCGGGAAGCTGGACTTTCTTTTCGGGCAATTGCAGTTAGAGTGCAAAGAAGTGTAGACACTGTGGTTAGGTGTTGTCAGGCATGGCTTCGAGAAGGCCGTACGCAAAGAGCAAGGGGCACTGGACGCCGCCGTAGAACAACAGACCGTGAAGATCGCCGCCTAAGATTATTGGCCTTAAGGGACCGTTTCTCCACTACCAGGTCCATTGCAAATGAATGGTTTGCAGAACACGGAAGACCTATTGGCATGCGAAGTGTTTACCGACGAATGAGAAGTTTTGGCTTGTTTTCATACCGGCCACACTGGGTCCTCCCTTTAACTCGAGAACACCGACGTAATCGCCTTGAGTGGAGCAGACAACGGTCACTGTGGGATCAGGAATGGAACAGTATTGTCTTTAGTGACGAGTCTCGATTTTGTTTAGGCATGCACGATGGTCGTGCCAAGGTTAGAAGGCGACGTGGTGAAAGGAGGAATCCAGAGTTTTTTGTTGAAAGACATGTCATCACACTGTTGGAGTTATGGTTTGGGGTGCTATGGCTTATGGTTCCAGGTCACCTTTAATCTTCATCAGAAGTAACATGAACGCGCAGCGTTATACCCACGAAGTTCTAGAACCCCATCTTTTACCCTATCTTGACACCCTGGCAGATCCAACTTTCCAACAAGATAATGCCCGACCACATGTTGCAAGAGTCACAATAGACTTCTTTCAACATAATGATGTCACATTGTTACCATGGCCACCAAGACCTCCCGACTTATCCCCAATTGGGCACGTGTGGGATATGATGGGTAGGAGATTGCTCAATTTGCAACGTCCTCCTCTGACTCTAGAAGCACTTCGAGAGGAGTTGGTGGTTGCCTGGAATGAGATACCACAGGAGGACATTGACCACCTGATCAGAAGCATGCCTAGGCGCGTTGGAGAATGCGTAGCACATCAGGGTGCATCCACACATTATTAAAGGTCAAAGGGCTTTACAGCAGTGCAATCATTTTGAAATTTTTATCATTTACTTATTATGCTTCATTAAGTACTTATACAAAATTTTATTAAAATAAAACCATTTAAACTGGGTGTTCGGATTTATATGTCACTTAGTATATTACTAGATGTATATTTTATCTAAAAGAAACATTTAAGTTTGACATCCTGCACACCCGCTATATTAACAGATGCAGTAGTAAATTTTGTGAACTTCAACCAAATTCGTACATTTTTTGATGTTTCTAAATGATCAATACAACGTGGTTAGACTCGTAAAATGTACTTTTCTTTACGGTATGTATGCTTATCTTCTTACAGGCACGACTTTCAGTTTGGTTGGGTATCTTCTGATGAAATACGTTAATCAGTGAGTGGACTGACAAAAACATAACTGTGTATTTTGTCTTTGGGTTAATACATGTTTCAAATGATATGTGGTCTTCAAAGCAAGGCAGAAAAATTTAGTTTCTAAATTAAAATGATAAAATCTATTTCCATACCTCCTTTAAAACTTTTTGGGTGTCAAACGATCCTCCTTGAATGTTATCTGGATATGTTTCCAAAAACACCTGAAAATGTTCTAAAGTTCCCAAATCTGCAGGTAAGCTAAAGTCGTATAAGTGTCCTAATAAGGTGACATTGTTCATTATATCAGACTTGTTGATTCCAGTTGATATTGCTCTGAAAAGAGACAGTTCACAAATCGCATTTAAAATAAAATCAATGGCTTGTACGATATATCCCGTAGCCCACATTTCTGGAACGCCATCTATAGAGAAATAGCGCAACAACATCCAGTATGCTTTTCAGAGATTCGCATGTCATTCTGGCACACCTAGTATGAAGAATTACTTGCTATTTTTGTCCATACTGTCAATCATTTCAGCTTTTTCGAATTAGCACAGTGTGTGTACAATGATTCGTCAAAATGAAATTACGTATGTAAATGCTTCCAAAGGAGACATTGCAATAAATTATAACCAAAGATAAATACATAGTGGATAAATATATGGTGGAGGATGTTAATGTACTGTGTTAAGTGCGTTGAAGTATATTCTACGTAAATAAAGTATCGTTGTCCAGTAATTTTCGAATTAGCGTCAAATTAATAATTGAGACAAAGCTGTAAACAAAATTGACGTCGTAAATGGGAAAACGAGACGAAAATTGATTTTATTTGCAGGAGCTGTCTGACCAAATCCTCATTAGTAGCTGCGTATAGTCATACACCTTCCAGCTGACAGTACCACAGTACTTTCTACCCTACTGAGCGAGGGCCGTGGCAAATGCTTGTTCCGGAAGTCGTTGTATCCAGTATACAACTTCTTCCCGTCCAAGTGATTGTGCACGCGTTAAGGAATACCTCAGTACCGATTACCGGGTGGTGGTACAAGTCCGCCAACGGGCCACTTTAGGTCTATTTAACATCACTAGCACGCAAAAAGAAGGTGGTAGACAAGGACCAGTCGTCCGAGGCAGTACCACCCGCTAGCTTTTCCCAGGGTGTCTTATAAATGTCCGCATGTTTCCACACCTAAGCTATGCAGTCGGTTATCTACCAAAACAAAGAAATTAATGATGATGGATCCCTCGAGCACTAAAAACTCCGGACGTAAACTCACTCCACTCTCGGAATGTCCGGGTGGAGGGTGGGCTCGAGGGAACAACATCGAAGATAAAATTTGTTTCTCGAACATCTGCGGGATCAACAGCAACATTGATGCTGTTCACCACTACCTGCAATCCAATCGTCCCGCCGTGCTTTTCTTGGCGGAGACAAAAATCTCAGAGACCGCACCGATTAACCATCTCAACTTCCCAAACTACGAGGTGCACTCCAATCTGAGAAAGAACGGGGGAGTTGTGGCTTTTGTCCGCAGCAGTCTTTCCTGCTCCAGGGATCTTTCTTTGGAATCAGACCGGAAGGACATCCTGTGGCTTCGCCTCAACTCCAAAACATCACCCAAATTTATTTGCTGCCTTTATCGCTCTCCATCGAACCATAACTGGGATGACCTACTCGAATACCTCGCCGTCCAGATCGACTTCCTGAACATCAATCACCCCGCTTCAGAGGTAGTTCTTCTCGGTGATTTCAATGCCCATAATGAGCTTTGGTTGGGCTCAAATAAGACCGATGCAGCAGGTCGTGCAGTCGAAGCGTTCGCTCTTACTCAAGGGCTGACCCAGCTGGTGACGAGCCCTACTTTTTTCCCCCGCGTCTCGTCACACGCCAGTAGCCTGTTGGATCTCTTTCTGACCACGCATCCTGCCCCTTACAGCACTGCTGTCCTGTCCCCCCTGGGTAACTCAGATCACGGTGTTGTGGAGGTTAGGTTTCGGTCAGAAGCCGCTGTGGCAGCAGAAACTCGCACAGGCCGCAAAACTTGGCATTACGGACATGCCGACTGGGAGGGGCTCAGAGACTTCTTCTCTAGCTTTCCTTGGAGAGATGTCTGTTTCACTGATGCGGATGCGTCGACTGTCTGTTCTTCAATAACCGAAATTATCCACGTCGGAATGGAGGAATACATCCCTCACACAGTGAAAGTTCCTAAACCAGGGTCCAACGGCTGGTTCAACAAATCGTGTGACACTGCTCGCCAGCAGAAGATCAAGGCCCACAGAACCTACTTACAAAACCCCACTGTAGAGAACAGACAAGCCGACGTCGAGTTCAGAAACAAATATAACGAAGCGGTTCGCAATGCCAAAAACCAGCATGATATAAAAGTTAGGCACAGGGTAATGTCGCAGCGCAATGGCAGTCGGTCTTTCTGGACGCTGGCCAAGCAGATTGAAAAGAACTTCTCACACAGTAGCCTTCCACCACTTACGTGTCAGGATGGAACTATTGTATTCGACTCAAAGGCCAAAGCGGAAGTGCTACCCAAGATCTTTGCTGCCAACTCCACCATGGACGTCCCCACCAACGCCCAAGTGCCGTCAATTCAAAGGGTTCCCCACACTATGCGGGAGGTAACATTCAGGCATAAGACCGTAAGACGAGTGCTCTTGTCGCTCGACATCAACAAAGCTTCTGGTCCGGACTTGATTCCTGCCATTGTACTGAAGAGATGTGCAGCGGAGCTTGCTCCAGTTCTTTCGCGTCTCTTCCAGATATCTTATGAATCCGGCACCTTCCCAGAAAACTGGAAATTTGCTCATGTACAGCCCATCCCAGAAAAAGGATCCAAAACCGACCCTTACAACTACAGGCCTATAGCTCTGCTTTCTGTTATAAGTAAAGTGATGGAGAGGTGCATAAATCGCGAGCTTCTGGACTACCTCGAACGTCACAGCTTGATTAGCGACAGGCAGTACGGTTTCCGGCACCAACGATCCATAGGGGACCTCCTAGCTTACGTCACGCAACTGTGGAGTAAACTCATCCAGTCTCATGGTGAGGCTCATGTCGTTGCTCTTGACATCACGACATCCCACAACGTCAACGCGGGTGTTCCCCAGGGATCGGTCTTGGCTCCAACACTGTTTCTCTTACATATCAACGACCTCCTTTCCTGCACGATCAACCCAATCCACAGCTTCGCTGATGACAGCACTCTACATGCAGGAATTCAGAGTGACAAGCCGATCTCTGCCGCTGAGCTGGAAAAAAGAAGACTAGCGACGACTTCTTTTCTGACAAGAGACCTGGAGGCTATCACTGCTTGGGGACGCAACAATCTTGTACAGTTCAATGCTTCCAAAACACAGTACTGTACTTTGACGAACAAAAAGCGTCCTAGCGCTCATACAGTTTCGATGGACGGTTGAGTTCTACCAAAGAGCTATTCATTTCGGCTGGTCGGAGTCCAGATCACCGAGGACCTGATCTGGCACGAACACATCTCTTCAATAGCTGCAGCTGCTGGGAAAAAGCTAGGCTATTTGTTTAGGGCTAAGAAGTACTTTTCTCCGCATGACCTTCTCACTCTATACAAGGCCCAGATAAGGCCTAGCCTCGAGTATTGCTCACACATTTGGGGTGCTGCCGCCCCGACTACATTGTCCATGCTCGATGCTGTCCAGAAGAGGGCGGTCCGACTGATCGATGACTCTTCCCTAAGGCAAGGCGCGCACTGAGATGGTGAGCAAGTGACGTGGTAGTGGCGCGGTGATCAAGTGGCAGGTGGAATCGCTAAAGCCTATATAAACAAATGAAGACGCGCGTATCAAAATGGAGTAGCGGTGGCGTGGCATTTTGTAGGTGGCGTGATGTCAGTCTGATGCCACTAATCTCGAGCAAGTTTAATTTTCGACTGGCAAGCGGTTGGTGACGACGACGCGACATGGGTTTTTGTTTACTTTTTCCTGGAGTGAATCATGCGAGACGACCACGAATTGAACATTAAATTTGTAGCCCTTGTAGAGGCATATCCCTGTCTGTATGACAATACACGGGAGGATTATCATATGATCCATGTGCAAGAACGGGCTTTTTTTGCCACAGCGGATGAACCCAATGCCGTTTTTTCTTCGTCTCCTGACTTATAGCATTTAGATTAACAAGTTGCATAAATAAAAGGGCATCTTCATCTTCTGAGGACGACATGGTAAACCGGTGACGTCAACTGACTTGTTTGCCACTTCAGTGCGCTTTATATCACTTTCATACCACTTCGCCGCTATTCCGATCGCCACGCCAAATTTTACCATCCCTATGCCTCTCACCACTCCAATACCTCACCACTACCACACTACCTCAGTGCGCGCCTTGCCTAACAGACAGTCTTGGGACTCTTTCGCACCGGCGGGCCGTCGGCGATCTAGCTCTTTTCTATCGCTACACCAACGGGCTTTGCTCCTCAGAGCTCTCTTCCATGATTCCGCCGCGCGAAGAGCTTTCCAGACAGACTCGCCTGACTTCGGCGTCCCATCCTAACCGTGTCAAACTTCGTTCATCCAGAACTGGCCGATACGACCGCTCCTTTGTCCCGAGGGTGTCTAGATTGTGGAACAATCTACGGGAGGAAGCTTTTCCCAGTTTTACTAACCTTAGGCAGTTCAAAAATCGTATTAACAAAATTTCTTTGGGACCATCATAGCAGCCGCGGTGTTCCGGCATTTAGGCTTCTGCCTGCGCGGCTGTTTCGATATAAAAAAAAAAAATAATTTTTTAATCTTATACAAAGAACGGTAAGCAAAAACCTACACGACGAAGTGCCAGTGCAATACAGTAAAGATCAGAGACTGATTGGACACATTGATATGGCTCCAAAGTCACATTCACGTCAGTTTTAGCAGTTTACACAGTGAGAGTGTACAAGTAAAGTACAAATTGCGTTAATAAATAATCCTTCTCTGACTCCATTAAAAAATTGCCCTCGTGTCTCGGAGTCAGCAGCAGGGCCAGAGGTAGGTTGTCCGCACATTAAATTCTTCACGGACGCCTATTATCAAATGTTGCTTATTGGACAAAGGCATTTTATGCATCGAGCATGTTGATTGCAGATGCGCGTTAACGAGATGATAAAAATGTATATTTAAGATAAAAAATGACAACGGTCAAATTTTATCGAAAAATTCTGCTTATTGTGGATAATTTAATTAATGATTTTCATAAATTATAGATCATGTTGCTACCGGAACTTGGATGCACACGATTAGGTGTTTTATCAATTCTAAAGGCATTTTGGTTGTAAAATTAGAACCAACTTGTTCTAGATGCTCACCGTCAA